AATAAATCCCAACAAATGTATGTATAAGTGAGTATAGAATATATTATTCAATTTTAATTTAATATGAAATTAAAACTACATTTTCAATAACACAAATAATAATTAATTCGTTTCTAATAGAATACATAACAAAAATATACAAATTTAATTACATAGGTAAATGTTTCATTTTTCATATTTTATTTTATGTGAATCCATTCATTCAACTGTTCAATTATGAAAGAAGTTACACAATTTTAGTTAAATTTATACATATACATTCTCCAATTTTTACTTAAAGAAAATCTTTTTAATTTTTTTAAGGAAAAATTATGTAATACTTCAAAATTAAAATTATATCTCGTATTTTGTTATTGTACAACAAATCTTGCAATTGACATATGTATATGACAGTAATTGCTTGTCAATCAAAAGTTGTTTGCAAATCACATAACATTGGATTGCGGATACGAAAAAGACTCGAAGTATCGAGTAATATCAAATGACATAATGCTAATTAACGTATACAATTGTGATTTTCGATGCTCGTAACCTATGCGTACTCCAGTATTATACTATGTAATTATCCAAAGTGTGTGTCCCCTGATGTGCATTTTCCATCAGAAATAATTATCGCGCTGTTAACGAATAATCAGAAACATCGAACCTCAGTGGAGCGAATAACTTTATAATTATCATGTTATTAACGAACTATTGGAAGCGAATAAAGTTCCGCGCGCTCAACAAATTTCACGTCATTTACGGTTCGAAAGTGCGCGTATAAATAAAATATCGATATGAATAAACATTAAAAAATTCCGGGAGAGTCCAATTAAGATAAGCGTTAATTAACGTGGTCGCTATTTCCTCACAGTATCGTGAAAAACGTCTTTCAATAGATACTAATTAAGCAACAGCAGGGCAATGAAGTCCGCAGCCGAAAAATGCATTAATTTTATGCATAGACGTAGTAAATACCCAGAAAAAAGTTTAGATATAATTTTGTATAATTTCATCTACATTTTTTTCTCGGGTATAGACTGAGCGTCCCGTTGAATAAGCTGAAACTTGTGAAGAGAGAGACAGAGAAGATTTAAGAAGACTTTCTTTCTCTGCCTCACCATCGAGACAAAGGAGGCGCAGGCACGATTATTCTCTTTTACGATGGTGTAAGGCAGAGAAAGAAAGTCTTCTTAAATCTTTCTCTCTTTCATCACAAGCTTGAGCTTATTCAATGAGACGCTCAGTCTATAATTACTATGTCTATAGGCTTGTTTTCTGTTGCTACACTGGTGAACTAGTGCAATAAATTAGAGTAAGACAAGTATATTTTTTCTCATTCTAGCTTACTGCACTAGTTCACCAGTGCAAGAACAGAAAACGAACCTTATGATTTTATGTACGCTTAAATAATACGAATTTATGACATTTGATAATGCTTTATTATTTTCTTTTGTTATACCCGTATCCAAGTCACCCCTTGTATTCGAGCTAATTGTAAGTCGGACTATCCGGCAGAAAAAGTCGCGAAACGTTCCTTGGCGACGAGCCGATGTTATGTAACGACACCATAGAGATTCGGAATTTAGCTTTCGGACCGAACAAATGTGTTTGTGCTATCTGTGCTTCTTTCTTGAATATAAATCAAGTCTTTTCTTATTATTTCCGCGAGTTTCGGTGTGCGTGAACGCGGACGCGCGTACACAAACGTACGACACACCAGAGAGAGAGAGAGAGAGAGACAGAGCCGTGCCTGACACTACACAGATATTTTATCGATGCGATAAAACAATAGAGGATTTGGTACATTAAATTAAACTACGCAAACATATAATCAACAAGGAATTATATGAATGTAAGTTTATGTCAATTTGCTCTAATTTTACATTTTATTATGTAATATTGTATATATTTGATTGCGGTATTGATTTAATAATTATATGTACATGTTTATAATACTTTCTCAGTGTGTTAATAACTTTCATGTGTAATATTAAAATAACACAAATCTTAATTCATGTTATTAAGATTTATGTTGCTGACGTGGTACACTGGGCAGATCCGAGTGAGCATTATATCCGAGTAAACGTTATTAATAAAAAAACAATTAACTTTATATGAATGGAAAATAGTACATGATATAAGATACTTAAAATAATATTCTCTTTTATGAGAATATTTGTTCAGATAAATGTAATGGATGGCATTAGATGATACACTGTAGTATCGGAGGAAGACAATAGTAACTGATGAGTCAATTAATACATTATACATGCATAACTGGTTTATTGTAGCACGAAGATTTTATTAGTGTCATCTTATAATAGTTTCCTTATAAACTTTGTTCAAGGTTGTTTGTGATTGTAATAATTTTCCTCCCTTTCCGATATTTGCACATGAAAAGAAGCAGAAAATCAATTAAACCTAAAGCAATTTTAATCATCAATGCTTATAAAACGGTTCTGTGACGTCTTGTTATTTGCGCTAAACTGTAACAAATTATTTTCTCTATTTATATGCAAGGATAACTCGCTACAAATCATATAAAATGTCCTTGATCCATATACATTGTATGATATAAAAGAATAATGCGACATTTTGTTTCTCGATCATAACACGAAGGTATAAAGTATTTATAGAGTATTTAACTTTCTGAATTAAAATCATATACCAAGATGGAGAATTGATTTGACCTAACTGGCCACTTTATTAAAATTAGGAACACGACGTTTCGGCCATGGATTTTGGCCCTTTTCTAGTGCATAGAGTAATCTAAAATCGTAAATACAATTAAGTTACAGTATAGTTCACAAATCATAAAGGACCATAGACAGATTAACAAAGTGAAAGTTCGTACCTAAGTCATAATATTAAAAATTTTCATATGTGTGTAAATCGCATTGTTTCAGAGCGGTGTCGTCATAAATCTAAAGTTGATTACAATGATTTGATTAACGCATTTAGACAGTATGTTACAATAGGTTTTTTTTAATTTTTTTTAAGTAAGACTTACATGTTTCATATATTATTTCTATTGGTTTAATAATCCGTGTAACAGTAATACTGTGTTGCAAGGCAGTTAGTGTTACGCTTCGTCATAATAATGGTCCAAGCAAAGAGACACGTGGAACGCACTTGTATTATTTCGCATTTCTCCGGTCGGCGCGATCCGTTCGAAAGGCGTAATCATATAATAAATATATGTATATGAGAAACTGTATACGCAAAATACTAGTCACAATCATACTTAATAAGTATTAAACGTTCAAAGAAAATAACTACATTCTAATTAAATACGATACTAAGCATCATATTTAAAGAGAGGAAATGCTATCGCTCTACTTATTTTTATCATATAACTGTATAATATGTATCTTGTGTTTTTACGCAAACCAGATAAAGTTGTTATGATGACGGTAGTTCCAACCAGTGGTGCAAATTCCGCTACTTTTGCAGCACGCTGTGGTCGGAGAGGGGATAACGCACACAAGCGAGCAGCCGTGTACGTGTGCGCCCAACGCTTCGGCCAACTTCGGCCGACTAGAAGAGCTTAGACATATCTGCTCTCTTTCTTCGTCGAGACCACACTTACAAAATTGCTCGTTTGCATATGAACGCTGCACACAGTTAAACCGGCCGCGAGGATTGTGTGTAGCGTTCACATGCAAGCGAGCAGCTTTGTAAGTGTGGTCTCGACGAAGAAAGAGAGAGCAGATATCTAAGCTCTTCTACCCGGCCGAAGTTGGCCGAAGCGCTGGGCGCACACGTACACGGCTGCTCGCTTGTGTGCGTTATCCCCTCTCCGACCACAGCGTGCTGCAAAAGCAGCGGAGTTTGCATCACTGGTTCCAACCTCTTGGTGAGTTAACTAATAGTTAAATAATATGTATGTCATTGCTGTCCCTTTAAATCAGAAGATAGACATATATAATTAACTATTAGTTAGCTTATCAAGAGGTTGATAAAACCTACCCGTAGTCAGACAAATGCTAGACCTAACAACGATGGAAAAAGACGTTCGAAAATTTTACCTGTTCTCTCACTCGGATCTGCCCAGTGTAACACGTCAGCAACATCATCTTTAACACGAGCACGCACGACCACCAAGCATATATAGACCACCACAGCTCGCCTTTCGTCTCGTTTGCAGTCGCGTTCTGTAGCATTGTCCCTAGCGCGACCTTATCTTGCTTAACGTTGTCTCCGCGTTCACCGGGAAAGCCGGCGCGTTACTGGCTACGTACTCTTGTCTGAACTGGTAAGGGCTATTAGCAAGTCAAATGCATGAAATGGTGATCGGTAATCTGATGCGCGAGGTAGTCGAGCGGGAAGGTTTAAACATGAGCATTCACGTCGCGAGACACATTACTTTAAATCGAAGAAACGCCCAGATTGATCGCAAAATAGGATATCCTATCGGCTCAAACATTGTATCAACAAAGACAGATAACGTTATTTAATAATAAAAACATAGATAAGTCTGAAATCTTGGAAAAGACTGATCTCTTGAGAAGAAATTCTGAATCTAAGATTTTGGAACAATTTTTTTTCTAAGATATAGAGGAAAGGCCTTTAATATAAAATAGGTTTCTAATATGAAATAACAGGTTTTCAACACCCAAATTTAATCGCACATTTTTTTTCGCAACAATTATATAATCTATCAATGAATGTTCCACTAACCAGATTTCGCTCCAAGGGCAATAAATTCACGGTGGAATCAACTGATGATGCTTATTAATTTAACAGAAACCCCGCTATCCTATATTAGGATCCTATCTCATAATAGAGGACTTTCCTCTATTTCTACTTGATCAAAGACACTGAAAATATTCAGATCACAATAGAAGGGGTAGAAGAGACATCTATAAGAAATTATAAATTTTTGCAAGAAAAAAACTTGTGTCTCTCGTTAGTTATAAATGTATCATAATCTTGTAATTTGACTTATATCTGATTTTGCGGAATAGAGAAATTATCTCGTGGATTTGATAAAAATCACATTTAAACACACATATGCTTGAATAAATTACAGACTTACATACTTGAATTAATAGAAATATTGAAATACTTATAATATTATTGAAATATTTATTTATTTATTATTGTAAATACCAGTATTTATGAAATTATTCGACATTTGTTGTTATAATCTGCCACTAATAATTTACAAATTGAAAGAAAGTATGATTGTTTACAAGGAAAAACTTGTGTATCTCGTTAGCTATGAATGCATCATAATCTTGTAATAATTTGACTTATATCTGATTTTGCGGAATAGAGGAATTATCTCGTGGATTTGAAAAAAAATCACATTTAAACACACATATGCTTGAATAAATTACAGACTTACATATTTGAATGAATAGAAATGTTGAAATACTTATTATTGAAATATTTATTTATTTATTATTGTAAATACCAGTATTTATGAAATTCTTCGACATTCGTTGTTACAATCTGCCACTAATAATTTACAAATTGAAATAGTATTTTCACTGTTTGTATTGAGATTTATTATACAATAAGTGAATGAGTTTCTTACAGTTTTTGCGAAATTCATATAACTCCATAATCTCATATGTAAATATCAGTTCATATCAACATACACTTCCGTCTTTATTAAGATTTATAAAAATTTTATGGAAATTATTGTTTCATTTTGCAATAATATTCTTTTATCCATTTCGAAATAAGGAATAAATTTGGCGTTATCAGCGAAATTCTATAGACTATGAACGCCATTGCGCGATATTACTTTTCTTTATGTTCGACATTCTCGATACCCAGATCAGATCGTTCCCGAGAAAAAAATCTGTGGCGACGATGTTCGTTTCCTTCCACCACTCCTCTTGAAACTTGATAGTGAGATTTCGATTAACGGAATCGGCCATCTGCCGAAGCCCGCCAGGTAGATCAAAGAAAACGTCTTTTAGTGTCGGTGTCAATTCCGCCATTACTGCCCATAATGGATTCTGACTATTCCTACGTTTCTTTGATCCCAAAATCTCTGTGTCCAAATACTCGAACAAACCTTTCACGGTTTGCTGGTTGCCCCATACTTGCGTCAAAGGCGGCCATAGCCAATCGTATTCTAAAGTGGAAAAGGATTAAACGGATATTATTATAAACGATTACTAGCTAAAGAATTTTAACAAATTAAACTTGTGAATTGCAAATTGATAGAAATTGACAAATTGAAATTGCAAACCGACAATGTTTTACCGTTTACTGTATGCTCGTCACCATAACAAATAATTAATCTCTTCCCGCCGGTCCAAATGTCATTCAATGTCGGTCCTAGACCTTCGATTCCTCTGTCCGGCTTCAGAATTAAGCCTTCGAATTCTCGGTGTAAAATAGCCACTAGTTTCCGATGCTTGTTTGCTCTACCGCCGAAGCCCACAGGAAATCTGTTTGTTAATTTTTACGTTATTATTATTACGAAACCTATTTATTCATAATTTGTATGATTATTATCTATTAATAGATTTTGATAAACAACGCTGAATATGCAGATATGCAAACATAAGATGTCAGTTTCTGTCTTATAAGACTCAAAAAAATTTTTGAACAGTTCCGGTAGTTCTGTTGAGAGTTTCCGGTAGCCCCCGCAGAGTTCTATCGAAAATCCTAATTACAAAATTCCATTACATTAATACTTTTATAGTTATACCTATTTCTGGGGTTTCTTGATTCTTCAACTTCGTTTTTTTTTTACTTTCTCGTGCAGAACTGTTGTTAAAATGTATCAATAACTCTAGAACTATGCGAAATCTATCCAGAACTCCATTAAAAAATTAGTTTTTACAAAAATGGGGGGCTGCGTGAAGTTAGCCTCTATTTAAAAAAATTTATTTTAACGTCTTTATGGGCAGAACTATTTCGTAAACCCATCAAGAACTCTGGAACTATTGTAAATCTATAGGGAACTCGTAAAAAAAGTTAAATTTTTAAATAATGGGGGGCTAACTTCACAGGGGTTTGTACAATACTATATTGGATAGCGTGACTCACCTGTGAAAGTCCATAATGACAACTTCACCCCTTGCTGCGTCCAAAAAATCCCTCACATCCTTTAAAATCTCCGCAAGAGGTGTGATGCGAACGAAGTCATGGTTGACCCAGAATCGATTTACATGATTCTCGTCCTCATCAAGCGCGGTGCCATTCGGTATCGACGGATAATATCCAACTCTGATATCCAGATATCTTATACCGTGAACCAACTGCGTCCAAACGTCACGATCTTGTGTCAGCAAATACCGCTGAAAGGCGGCTCGGCGTGTTAAATCACCATGCTTGTAACAGCCAGAATTGTGTGTACCAGGTATCATCAGGCTACCGATAGGAAGCATGCCGATCTCTCTCCTTTACCAATATAGAAAAACATTGTTTGTGTATTAACAGCATTCAATTGCTATAAAATTACGTGTCAATATTACCAATTCGTCAAATTTGTAATAATGAAAACTAATTGAAAACTATGTTATGTTACACAAGTAATATTGGGAGTATTGTAATCGGAGATCTTTCACAATTGAATTTTCATAAGTATCACTTGACATTTTTCCTGCTTGATTTATTGTTTCTGCAATATGGACGTTTGAAAATGTTTTATTTCAAAACTGTGAGCTGTCGAAAGTTAAAAAACTGTGAGTTTCGAAGGTAAAAATGTAAATTATTTTTGAAACTCGTGATACTTTAATTCGGAGTTTTAAAGTTGCGTAAACATTATGGTACCTCAAATCGTACATCCAAGTTGGCCAAATTTGCAAACAAGACATGGAAAACATTTGACCATCAATGTAAAGGATTGCATAATAATCGAGACAATGTGGCCCTGGAAGATTCGCCCCATCCTTTGCGTCCCACCCTCCTGGAAGCGGTGGACGACCGACTGTAATATTTGTCCTATAATATCCCCGAGGACGGGGTAATGAAGTCAAGATCAGTTCAGGCTTGATCATTTTGTCTGGAACAAATAGGATCCGTGGTTGCATCGACAAATTTTTCGGTATTCAAAGCTCGATAGCTTTACGGTGAGAAAATGTGAGAAGGTATGGATGCGTTCGATTTCACGACGATTCATTCTGTAAGATAAATCGGATTGGAAGCGATTCAAAACTATCGAGGGATTCATTTCGAACGGATCAATGTTTTCGAATTGAATGCGATAGGCTGAAGAAAAGACTTAACAAACAAGTTTTAACGACGGACTCAAAGCGTTTCGACGCATAAGCTGGCGATGTGACACGAAAGCAAAATAAACTTATAAAGTTTAAACTTCGTCGACAGAATTCTTAAGAATAAAAAAAGTTTTAAGTAAATCCAGCTCATTTATACAGTTTTTACAAACTACTGTCATGTTTTGTAATAAATCATTTCTTTGTCGATTCTAACCGCTAACTTTGGCAGCGGAATACACAAGAATATAAAAATTTATTACTATGTGCTGCTAACGGGTCAGCAGTGAACACCTTGATGTGGGTGTCTGAGTATTTCATGTCCGCCGGACAATCGAATTCCCAATTTACTTCTAATTCAGCATCAACCACCTTATCACTGGCAGCGATTGGTCTCCACAAAGAGGAAACTGTAACCCACACTTTTCCGCACTGCCCTGCCAATGCTGAAAGCAACAAAAATATAGATTGAGAAATACAATACAATACAATAATATATTTCAAAGAATTTAAAGGACTCAGAGCCCGTGACAGGGTGGCAGTGTCTAAATATTCTATTCTAAGTTTATTGCGAAAAAATATCACCTCGACAGGGTTTGAACCTGGACCATATTGTGTTTAACACATATGAGCCATACTAATTTAACAATAATAAATAGAAAGAGGAACAAATTATTTCCGTAAACTTGATTTGGCTTTGGTCTTATTTTTCATATTTATCTCTACTGTGCAAATTTACCTTAAAATTTTAAATACCTATTATAGTCATAGTTTTCATTGATTTATGATTTTATATACTATAGGTATTTAAAATTTTAAGGTTTTGCACAATACAAACGAATACCGTAAAAGTGATTAAGACCATTCAAGTTTACGCTACCTCCAATCTTTACGCAAGAAAAATGAATTTTTCGTGCTTTTCAAATCACACAGAAAGAATAATTTTGCTGAAATAGTTAAAAATTTAACTGGATTCTAAGATTTGACAATAATTTCACATAAGAGCCCTTACAAAAAAGTAACAAAATAGTTACTAGAAAATTACTATATATCAATAATTGAATCATTAGAAATGACTGATGTACAATAATTTTCTAGTAATTATTTCGTTGCTTTTTCGTAAGGGAGATACCAGGTGTCATTTCAGAGAATTATCTTGAAAAGAGTAAATGTATAAAGGAGACAGTAGGAATATATGAAAATACATGGAACCTTGCTGATGACATGGAACCCTTCAATATCTAAAAAACATTTAGCTGCACTTTAAACGTGACTTCTGAAACTTGTTTAGTAGGGTATACTTTGAGCCATAAGAACGCTGGAATCACTAATTTTGTGATAACGATAGAGTAAAAGAGTTATTTCTCTTTTGTCAATTTCTGAATGTTAGAAATGTATATATAATAAAACTTTATTTATTTTCGACTGTTCGTGATTAACTATTCGTGCCAGAGACTATCTATATAATGTTATCTAACATTTCTACTCATTTAAGGATATAGTCCTCTTTGTTTTTTGTAAGTCGCTATTGTCGTACAAATTTATGCTGTTTGCATTATGGACCTCCAAGGAAACCGTGGGTTCAATGTCTTATGTGTGGTCTATGCACTCATCCACAATAAGTGCATAGAAGCTGACAGAAAAAATACATTTATAATTTTTATCAGTAAAAATTAAAATTCTTTCTCTTGTTCCATTTTTAAGTGTTTTTTTTTAAATCATTTGCTTTTACAATAGTAATGATTTATTTTCCACTATGAATTTCTTTACAACATTTCTTTTAATAAATAAAATACTTTTTAAAGTTATTTTACGTTTTGTAAATTTTTTCTCATGTACTAAAAAAATAAGGGGTTTATATTACCAGTATATTATGTCTTACCACTTAACTGTACACTTTTCAGTTTTCTTGTACAGCTTTTCTTGTAAGTAGAGAATTATTAATTGAAAGTTAGAAATGGATTGCCAGTAGAATAAAGAACTTAAGTATACCAAGATTGAAAAAATGAACTTATAATTATAAGAAATCGCATAAAAATAAAGTGTAGTTCCATATTCCTACTCCTTTATACATATGATTTGATACAATCTTCTATACATAGAGGAAAATTATGATATTTTTATTACGAGATAGGATTCTAATATGAGACAGTAGGTTTTCAGCGTCCAAATCCAATCACCAATCTTTTTTCGCAACGATTACACGATCTAACAATTAATTTTAAACCAAACAGATTTCACTGTGTCCCATGTACATGTCCCATGTATTGTGAAAAAATATGTCCCTTTTATTCAGTCACATATTTATATAACGTAATATACTTTTGATAGTAAGTTTTTCTGTAGGTTATTTAAAAATACTTCTTTAAACGCGCGTTATTTCGTATTTCTGGCAAGATAATAAAAATTATGCTGAGAAATTGCGTAACCTAAATGCAATAGTTAATTTATTCTCACCAACATTGCAGAAGACATAGAGAATCAGCACAATTCCTTTCAGCATAATCGACATGATGAGATTTCGATTAAAATTATTTGTCTATCTCCTTCGATCTTCCGATGTCAGCAAATATTGTGCACTCGTGTATTAATCAAACAGTTTCTAATTTCTTCGAGCATAACGGATACAAGAGCCTTCAGATTTTCTGAAATTCACAACTTATTCACGACACATGGTTGCTTAGAAATCTTCACTAAATAATATAAATAAATCTCCACTTGTAGAGAGTCAAGAATATTTTCTGCACAAAAATTGCATCAAAGATTATAAAGAAAACAATAACAAATACAGCAAAAGTTGAAAAACTTTCGTAGCATCAGATGTATCTACGTTATTGGTAAAATCGTCACATACTCATCGAAAAGTATCAAAATTTCACCCCGTTTTCTCTAAGTGACTGAAAAATTACCCTGATATACAAATGCCTGTAGTCTTAAAAAGCTTCCGCGTCCGGACCACCGATTCTCCCGATTGTCTTACTTCTATCACGTGTAAGAAAATCTCTCGATTAGGTCAAACATTCTCGTTACATCGCAAAACTTTAAGACACACGGAATAGAAGTCGTAAACGAATTCAGACGCCTCCTGCTGCTAAGGATGCAGTGGTCCCTGGCTGACAACTTGGCAACTGAACCATAGGCAGTCGAACGAACTACTACTGGTAAGCGGAGTAGTCTAATGTAGAACCCGCTTATGGGACATTCAAGTACATTGTGCTTCCATCCTTCCGTCACTTCCTCGGATGCGTCAATTGGACACGAGGAGGGACCAGTACTCGTTCGTTTTCCCTCTCTCTTCCCCACGTCCGCCTCTCCATCACGTTCACTATCGGCTACGTGCGTACTACTCGGGGTCGGGCCCGGCCTGGTCTGTTAAATACCATTTCCTGCATACGCCGTCGCGGAATATATAGTTTCGAGGGAGAACCGACGATGGATGTGAACTCGAGCGAACGATTGAGGGAGGTTGGGAGAACGGATTCAGTTTCTACATTGAATTATCACCCTCGAGCATCGTGCGCAGGGGACACTGCATGTCAGGAGGGGACCCGTCGTGAGAGCAAACACGTTAATCGTTGCATATAGATCGAGGCTGCAGATCGCGATTTATCGGTAACATTTTAGGGTATTTTATGGGTATATTTTGTTGAGCTAGGTCACGATCGTGAGTACATTACAAATCGCATTCGTATATTCCGCTGCAACAGCCTATAACAATGAATAATTTGTAAACATTACTCGTAGAATTTCTCAGACGGAGATAATAGCAATTTTCAATTATAGAAATTCTTTATACGAACTAGTGTCGCTAGGTTGGGGGATTTTCCAAATAAACATTTTTTGGGGTTCCCTTATTTTTACTGAGGATTTTTAAGGGGAAGTTTTAGAGAAGTTTTGGAAATTGTATTGATTTCGGGATTGATTTACAATGCATTAATTTTTAATAACGTTTATTATAATATAATATTTAACTAGTAAGAATATTCTTAAAGTCGCCAGAAGTAATTAATAAATTAATAACATCAGTGATTTTTGTTGACCGTATCTGGCAATTAAAATTCTTATTGCGAAAAATATTACCCCAGCCAGGATTCGAACCTGGGACCTCTCGCAATCCGTGACGGGCGTCAGAAGGTAATATTTTTCGCAATAAGAATTTTAATTGCCAGATACGGTCAACAAAAATCACTGAAAATATAATATTTATTTACAATAAGTTTATTATATTATTTATCTTCTTATGTATAGCTATTGAAATTTTATCATATACATACCTTAATTTTTTTAATCCATGCAATTTGCTTTTGTACATGCGCAAACCTTGTATCGTACATATAATATAATGACAATCGTAACAACACAAGTTATAAACAAATTAATACAACGTCTATAACAGATAGGAATATTTGTAATTGTTCATGAAAAGGATTTGTCACTTGATCATTGCAAATCTTTCAAATACAAGCAACATGTTAATCGAAAAAGAATTTAAATTAGATAAATACATTAATTTAATACTGCCTTTTACAAAGATACAAGAAGAGCACATTCATAGATAAACACAGTAAATTATTATTAACATTATCCCTAATAGCCAAATTTTAGCAGAGTGCCGGCAATATGCCAGCAGATCGAAACATGAGTATCGAGCAGATTCCTATCCAATGCGTCCTCATT